CAAAGAAGTCAGAGAAGAATTTGATTCTAGAGCCTTTGCCAAAGCTGCTGCTCCTGTGTCTCCAATTTGATTCCAATGCAAATCCAAAGAAGTCAGAGAAGAATTTGATTCTAGGGCCTTTGCCAATGCTGCTGCTCTTGTGTCTCCAATATCATTAATATACAAATCCAAAAAAGTCAGAGAAGAATTTGATTCTAGAGCCTTTGTCAATGCTGCTGCTCCTGTGTCTCCAATATCATTAATATACAAATACAAAAAATTCAGAGAAGAATTTGATTCTAGAGCCTTTGCCAATGCTGTTGCTCCTGCATCTCCAATCTGATTAGACCTAAGATTCAAAAAAGTCAAAGATGAATTTGATTCTAGAGCCTTTGCTAAAGCTACTGCTCCTGTGTTTCTAATTTCATTCCAATACAAATCCAAAGAAGTCAGAAAAGAATTAGATTCTAGAGCCTTTGCCAAAGCTGCTGCTCCTGTGTCTCCAATTTCATTCGCATGCAAATCCAAACAAGTCAGAGAAGAATTTGATTCTAGGGCCTTTGCCAATGCTGCTGCTCCTGTGTCTCCAATTCGATTCTTATGCAAATCCAAAAAAGTCAGAAAAGAATTTGATTCTAGAGCCTTTGCCAATGCTGCTGCTCCTATGTCTCCAATTTCATTGCCATGCAAATCCAAACAAGTCAGAGAAGAATTTGATTCTAGAGCCTTTGATAAATATGCACACCCAATCTCTTTTAATATCTTGTTTAATTGAACTGAGGAGGTTGATTCTAAAGCCTTTGCTAAAGCAATTATTTCTGTGTCTCCAATATTGCACTCACACAAATTCAGTGTTTGACTGAATTGTCCATCATACAAACACTTTAATTGTTTATATACTTCTTCACTTGATGGTCTTTTATTTGGATCACCATCCCAGCATTTTGAATATAGTTTAATGTACTCTTCTGGTGTTTCTGCAGAAGGAGGGTCTCTCAAGCCTCTCAGTCTATATAAAATAATTTCAAAACTTTGAATACGTCCTTCACATGGCCGTTTTCCACTAGAAATTTCCCACAATACTACTCCAAGACTAAAAATGTCTGACTCTTTCCCTCGTTTATATGATAATGATTCATTTTCAAAAGCAAGAGGATCAATATATGCTGTGTTCCCTTCACCTTTTGATGTAGAAGTAGATTGCTTTAACATACTGGACAGACCAAAATCAGTAATTTTTGCAACACCTCCTTGGATAAGAATATTTGCTGAAGACTACACAACAATAAAATCAGGCATTACTATTACTATATAACATAATAATAATAATAATTAAATTATTATTCTTCCATACCAAATCCTTGTGAATAATATCAAGCACATGCAAGTACTTCAACCCATTTGTAATGTTCAGACCTAAGTTATATTTCTCTTTCCATGTTAAATCCTTAAAATGGTTTACTAAGTATGCCTGCAGACTTCCACCATCAGCAAATTCGAAAACCATGTGATAATGTTGATTTGAATCTATCCGTATTTAGCAGAATAAGTTATCGATATTTACAGTTTTAAATTATATTCCTTGTAACAATATACTGACCTTTGCATAAACCTAAAAATCGGATAATGTTTGGATGGTCATCCACCTTCTTGTGAGCTTTCAGCTGACATACATAAATATTTATTGTCAGGTACATATAATTGTGGTATGACAAGCAACAACAGCAGTAATAACAAACCTCTTTGACAAACTTCTTGTATAATTCTTGCTCATCGTTATACACATCCAGCAATAACATCTTAATTGCAACAGTTACGCCCGTATGTTTCAACTGTGCCTTGTACACAATTCCGAACCCACCACGGCCGACAACCTTACGGTTTAAGATTTCACTTTCTGAGTAGCTCTTGACCATTCCATCTTTAGTTATTTTATCTAGCAAAGTCTTATCCATATTGGTTGACGCTTCATCAGAAGTGCTCCGTAAGATCATTTTATGTATTAGTATGTATGTCGCACCAATGTCACACAGATAACGTAACAGCACAAACATAGTCAGCCTGTTATTATAAGACGCTTCTCATTCAAAGCGAAAAGTTTATGAACTGCAATCTGCATATAAATACCCGAACTAGTAAAATCAAGTTAGCTGGCGGGTTTTTCGGCATTGACTTTATAAAGTCGAATCAAGTTCTTTCTCACACTTTTAGTTTGATCTGTTCGATCATGAATGTTATACCGTGTAACATGTCGGACAAGAAGGTATATTTTTGATAAGCCTATTTTAAGCATTAATTTTTATATCCGTTAGCATTGATTTTTTTGCTCTGTGCTAATATTTACTATTTCACTTTCAGATGCAAACAAACCTTTGCAGACAAACTAAAAAACCGGATTAAATCTTATAACAAATAACTCTCGTTATGAGAATTTTTAATACAAGAAAGGCATTTGTTGGGCCCGACCACTTTTTTATATCGAGAGCTGCTTATATGTGATTACTCGTTTATCCAACAATGAACTATCGACTGACAGTCGTTTAAGCGATAATTAAGTTGCTGCTTATTAGTAAAAGAAAATGACAACTTCGGTGCTCTTCTTGTAATTGTTTAGTATCCTACTTTGTACTAAATGAAGAGTCCGTCTTTGTAAATATTATCTCAAAAATAGTTGTAGAACAGATGCGCTCGACACATCATTGCCTACACGTATCCGATCAGCAAATAGAAGTTTGCCTAATTCTTGCCTACTTAATACTCAAAAGATTCAAGATCCGAAGATTTATTTATATAACTCAGGTTTACGAATGTTGCGTAATTAAAAATAAATTATATAATTGGTTACCCGACTATCGAGCGCATAACTGCTGTAAAAATAACCCACGCTTTATATCCTCTATCTTTTAGATTCCTGATCGCTCTCAATTGTTGATGCCGAGTCAGTCTTTTGTTGGTCTGCTGACATAGTTTTCGGAAGTAAAGATAATTTGGGAATTTTTCAAAGAATGACTATGCTGGATGAGGGATAATCATGTCATGTCTTCGATTTGTGGTTGCACACTGATCCTGGATTCGTTTTATTTACAACGTATAGTGTTAGTCGTCTTTATCTAGCTTCGAACATAGAAAATGGCTTTAATGGAAACACTTCAATTATAATAAATAAAGACTTACTTGGTAATGCAGTATTATGACTCGAGTCTTTATTGATGTTTGTTTATTTTTAGAGACAAAGCAACTTGATTTTGCCACGAAATTTTTAGCCAACAGGAATGAAGGCTAATATAATAATTGTCGTGTGACTGCCTTTTTTGTGCCATCACTGACTCGAAAACTGTCCTTATCAAAACCGTGCAATGCATTTATAGAGGACGATCGGGCCCAGATTTTCGGCATTTTTAGTCACACATTATCTGATCGGTGATAAAATTTTTATTCTTGCCTTTTTCACATCAAAATGACTAAAAAACAAAAGCAAAAGCACAAACAAAAACAGGAACAAAAGCAGGAGAAAAAGCAAGAGACTTTGCAGTCGCCAAAATCCAATTCTATTAACTCGAATAAAACTATACACGATGATTTTATAATGACAATTGATGATGAGGATAATGATTATAATATAAGCGATGAAGAAAACAAACAAGGACAAGAAGAAAACGATGAAATGGATTCAGATTTAACTTTCGATGATAATGATAACAATGAAATTGTCTTTTACGATGACAGCACAGGTTGGGCTAACAATTGACTTGATGGCATGATTCGTGAATATTTACTTGGATTCGATCTAACTAACTTGACGACTTTCATAAACGAAGACGAAGAGGCTGAAGATGATGAAGAAGAGGAGGAAGAGGGTGATGGTAGTAGAAAGCAAGATAAACAAGATGAACTTGATGGAGAGGATCATGATAAAACGGTTGAAGACGCAGAATCAGAAGATGACGCAAATGGTGCGTTTGGAGCTATGGCAGAAGAAGAGGAAGAGGAAGATGAAGACGGTGAGGCCGACATCGAATCGTCAGATGACGATGATAAGGAAGAAGTAAGAGATTTTCACACAAAGCGCGGCGAGCGTGCATCCGACTCTTCAAGTGAAGAGGAAACAGAACAAGAGAAACAAGTAAGAGTATATGCATGTTTATGCTAGTGTTGAATCTATCAATTGATTGTGCATTCACTAAACTATTTCCATGGCTACTGTTAAACTTAGCGTAAAAAATCCTACTTCTCGCTACCCCCTTCGCTCCCCGAAACCCCGATAACGTCCTTCTCTTCCCTAAACTTGTCACGTCCGATCCTCAAAGGCCTATCAATCCTACACTTTGTTACCCCGACGCCAATCCAATCCCAAACCATTCCCGTCGCTCTAATGGGTAAAGACATCTGCGGAGGAGCGATAACAGGTTCTGGCAAAACGGCCGCATTCGTGGTCCCGATTTTGGAGAGATTGCTATACAAACCGAGAGAAAAGGCTTCTACCAGAGTCTTGATATTGTGTCCAACGAGAGAATTGGCTATACAGGTTGACAAGGTGGCGAGGACGATTGGGCAATTTGTGGATGTTAGCTTTTGTTTGTGTATTGGTAAGTCTGTAACCTAGCAATGGTGGAGGATCGTTGTGTGGAATAAAACAAGAGATAGAGAAAAGAGAATTTGTGAGCGTGAAGGTGGAGAGTAATGCAACGGGGGGTAGAGAGAAAACAACCGCCGCCGGGATCATATTGACGTTTCTGTCTTTCGCATCATTTAGGCGGGCTGTCGTTGAAGCCACAAGAAACAGAGTTGCGTCAGAGGCCTGACATTGTAATCGCGACGCCGGGACGTTTGATTGATCATGTGCGCAATTCACCATCATTTAGTTTGGATTCAATCGAAATACTGGTTATCGACGAAGCTGACAGGTATAAAAACGGACAAGTTTTGGAATTTCATGTGTTGCAGTTTCTTGATTAATGCTTTCTTCCGATCACCATCTTTTATCATCTCTTTAGAATGCTCGAAAACGGCTTTGCGGCAGAATTAGACGAAATAATAAAGTTTTGTCCTAAATCTCGCCAAACCATGCTCTTTTCAGCAACAATGACGGACAATGTTGATGAACTGATACGCTTGTCACTGAATCATCCTGTGCGATTAGTGGTCGATTCTGTGAATTCCGCTTCCTCAAAACTCATTCAAGAATTCGTAAGGATAAGGGAGCACAGAGAAAAAGATCGAGCAGCCGTAATGTTGGCATTATGTAGTAGGACATTTAAACACAGGGTGATAATATTCTTTAAGATTAAAGTGTCGGTACATAAGATGAAGATTGTGTTTGACTTGATGGGCTTAAAAGCTGGTGAATTGCATGGAAGCTTGTCACAAGAACAGGTGAAGTTTCAATGTTAAGGAAGAGGGACGTGAATGCATCTTTTTGTTTGATCGGAAATTAATATTCTGGTACTTTTTTTAATAGCGATTGCAAGCACTCGAAGCGTTTAGAAAAGGCAGGGTTGACTTTTTATTAGCAACAGATCTAGCGTCTCGTGGATTGGACATTAAAGGTATAGAAACTGTAATCAACTATGACATGCCACAGACGCACGCGCTGTATCTTCATAGGGTGGGTCGAACTGCTCGTGCTGGACGTAACGGCCGGTAAGATTTCACACCATACATAATATTCACAAACTCTTGTGCAAGTTACTGACCACATTAACCGATTCTAGGTCGGTCAGTTTAACAGGAGAATCCGATAGGAAAATCCTCAAGAAAATTCTCAGACATACGCCACACTCTCATCTCAAACGTCGAGTGATTTCTCCCGAAATCATATCCACATACCAAGACCAAATCGATTCACTACAAGACCGCATAAAACAAATTTTTGCAAACGAAAGGGAACAAAATGTCATCCAACGAGCCGAGATGGAGTTGCAAAAGAGCGAAAACATGTTGATACATCAAGAGGAAATCATGTCCAGACCGGCGCGGACGTGGTTTATTAGCGAAAAACAAAAGAAATTGGCAAGCGGCAGCGGTGGCAGTAATAATAATGACGGGGGCGAGGCAAGTGCAAGTGCAAGTGCAAGTGGGAAAAAGAGAAAGAGACAAGACGCCAATGACGAAAAAGATGAAAAGAAAAAAATTAGAGACAAATATGCGGGAATGCCGAGAGCTAAAAAGAGGAGGTTAAAGTCTATGGAAGAAGAGGATGCTATTCACAAAGTTAAAAATGCAAAATCTATAAAAGTTGCCAAGAAGGCACTAAGACCCAGTAAGATTACAAAGTTGCCGCCTGAGAGTCAGAAGGTTGGAGGTGGTGCAATAAAAAAAAAGGGTAAAAGTAAGAAGACTGAAAAACGTGTGCGATTCGATCTGGACTTGGCGGACGTGTCTAAAAAGAGTTCTGGGGCCGTTATATCAAAGGGAAAGAAAAAGACGACAAAATTAAAAAGTGGTAATAGTAATAGCAAGAATAGTGAAAGTAAAAAAGGTGGTAAAAGTTTGAAAAGGAAGGGTGGTGAAAGTTTGAAAAAGAAGGGTGGTAAAGGTTTGAAAAAGAAGCGTGGCAAAGTTGCAATGAAACGAAAAAGATAAAATGGGTTGGTGTTCTTCAAATGATAAACTGTGAATGGATGTCTTTATTTTTCACTATTGACCGCTAAGCATGTAGGCCAACGAAAGAGAGCTGTTATGTTTGTGCGCAAGTGTGCTTCACTCGAAAACAAGAATAACTATTTTAATTACCGAGGTTAATATAATGATTCAATGCCGTTCCGACAAGATTAATGAGTGCCTTATTACAATCCCTAGCAAAAAGAATGGCAGCCAATTTTTTGGGGGGGTTTTTTTTATATAATTTGCCATTCAAAAGACCAATGTCATAACTTGTAAAAAAATAATATAGCATTTTGAATAAGTTAACGAATGTAAAAGCTAATTACATCAACAGATTGGACCATATCACGCAGGCAAAATATATGTTTCGATTTATAATTTTATTAACAAGTCTAAACGCGCGCACAACTTATAATAAATTTGACAAGTTTAAATCAAACTCAGTATGCAAATAAAAAACAAGGGTTTTTTAACCATACATGAAATATTAAGTAAATAAGAATACTAATAATACGTTTACATATTATTATAATGCAGATAATCTATGATTTTTATAAACTCGGAAATTGTGCTTTACAATTTTATCCGGAATCTCATTAAATGTGTAGACGACAAAATATTAAACAGTGGTAAAACATCCATTATGATAAGTATCTAACTTCTCTTATGTTCAACGAGCATGAGAATACAAGAAACTTCCCAGGTGGCGTTGTGATAATTTGGAATTATCAGTATTGAATTATCGCGTCTCGAAAAGAAGAGTACATACTCTAGTAAGCCCTTAATATTACCTATTGAAAATTCGTATGCGTACACTGAACTGACTTAAATCTCCAATTTCCCCCTCCCTTTGGACTAGCAGAATTACCTAAACTAATAACTATGATTTGGATTCAGCTGCAGGTATGGTCATATATGAAGTCAATTTACAATGTTAATACCACCCATTTCTTATAATTTAGAGACTCGAACTCTCTTTTGAATTCACGGATCATTTACAGTTTTATTCAAAGATTTACTCCTTCACCACGCGTGTGTGATTGTATTTTATGCGCATCATCGACCACGTCAATCACGACATCAATTAAAAATATGGTATATTAACCCATAAAGCTTTTATTTATATTAATCAAACTATGTTTATATCTTTGGAAACCCCCTCATCAACCAATGCCAGATTAAAACTGCACGCAAATCTCCAAGATTTTACTTGTAGCATAACTATAGATCGAATTGACACAACTTCGACGTCATATCCTCTAATACTTCACAGAACAAAGCGTTGTATACGCCTTTCTCCTCCGTTTCGTCATCTCTGGTTTTTGAACAAAGAAACCGTCTTATAAACTACGTTTACAAGTCACCAATCAGTGAAACGTCAAGACTTCCACTGATAACAGCAGGAAAAAATTTCGCATTTCAAGTAAGAGTGTCTATTTGCTAATCAAGGTCTGCACCGAGAAATCACAAACAGTACAGGCGAAAACAAAAATAATCGATAACCCGAGAATTCCGCTCTTCCAATGCAGGGAGAAATTTTCAAATTAAATAATGCTCGCTTAGTTGATTACATGCATTTACCCATTTGCAAGTTCACAATATCCGTATAGTAATTTTTGTTCTACGTAGAGTAATTGCAAAGAACGTATATACCAAATATAGAAATTAATTAATTATATTTTTTTTCATACACTAACAAAACGTTTTACTTGAAAATCGACGAAACCTCCAAACGACTTAATAAATATAAAAGTTATGCCTGTCAATTTTCGCTGAATGTTTTCAAGTTTCAATGGTCGTCCTCCATAGCGCGTCTCCAAGATGATGTACGTTATCTACTGCTATGCCTTTGTTTATTTGTTTTCTATTTTAAATCGAAATAATTTGGGTCAGCTACGGATCATTCGAAATCACAATACTATAACCCCTCCCCCCCGATTCCATCTTCCCACCACTTAAAATAACTCTCAACTTACATGTTCGCAGTAGACATCTTCAGCAATCCAATAGAAAGAGCATGTTCTTTCCCTTCGGCGTATACAGTGGCAATACTGTTACCTGGTAGATCCTCTTCCATCTTTGCTCCTGCCGACGTTAACCCAGGGGCCATGATGTTGGCTCCTGAAAGAATGAATTTTATTGCACCTCTATCGACTTGAACTCGCGGGAAGAGTGTAGGATCTGTAATTGGTAAAATGAATAGGGGATTAGAAGTTTGGTAAGTAATGGCTCCGACGATTTGTATTGACGGAAAACTGAAAGAACTTAAAACGCGAAATTAAATTTCTGAGAGAAGGAAAAAGTGAGCATACATACACTTATGAACAAGTCGGAGAGTGGGATAATAAGGTCCATCAAAGTGTTGAAAGAATAGAATTTCATTGTTTAGCATCAACAGATTTATGTGCTCGTGACTAGTAAGAACGAAAAGATCAAGTATACAGTAAGTTAATATTCTCATCACAAGTCAATTCGTTTCCATTACGGTCAAATCTTTTCTTCCTCTCACCATTTAACTAGCACTACATGAGCCTTTTTCGGTAATACCTCCTCAATGACTGACTCCAAGTTTGGATACTGATCCAGTAACTTTGTACGTATTGCCCTTTGTACTGATGATTTAACTTGGGACTGTGAGGCTACGTCGTCTCTGAAGTTGAATCTATTGAGAAGGTGTGTGAGAGGAAGGCCTTAGTACCATAAATGTAGATTGAACATAGATTCAATAGCTGATGGAACTTGATTGTTATACTTTTTGAACATTTTCGGTTGGGGGAGTAGTAGTGTTGAAGTTTGGTTTTTTTTTTACGTGTATGCTATGCATCATGTGAAAAACAGTTTGATAATCTACAAGCATAACTCAGGTTTTGTGACACATCTTCCGCCAGTTAAAATCTTTGCCCTCTTGGGATAATAGTTAGGGCTATATTAATATTGACACGGCAACTTGTCTCGCACAAGAGACATTTTCCATGTGTCTCTGACTACTCATGATGTAGCAGTTGAGGTCCAGCAGGCATTCTAGCAACATATAAATGCATATTTATCTTATACATTGCGACGGAAAGGCATAAAAGAGGCTTGCATATTCATATTAACTAGCATTAAAGCTAAATTTCTAACTGCGGATTGTGAATAATAATAATTTAGCTGACTATTGAGCGGAACTTTCCATTCTCCGTGTTCTAATACTTTTATAGCATTGGCTGTTGCTATGTACAACTATCAAACAAGTTTATTAATTTATCATGTACAATATATCAATGGGCTGAAAGATTCGGGTTGCTTGAGTAATTACAAGAAACCTTAAAGGATAAAATTAGATTAGCTTCCACCCACCCAACTCACAGTAATGGAATTGAGAGAAGCTCTAGAAAATCATTTTGAATTTACGCCAGTATCATTCATCAACGACGTAATTGATTCGGTGAATAAAGTGATTTATCAAGCTGCTTACAAGTTTAATCGATATGCCACCAGCGAAGCGAAGGCATTGAAAATCCCAGATAAAAACATAAAATCGGTATGGTTAAAAAAATATAGTATAGTACATACCCGTACAATATCTAGGGTCTGCTACATTGCGCTACTTGTATTTACGTTTGTCAGGGCATATGTCAATTAATAACAAGTCTCGAGTCGTCGGTTGACTGTAATTTCGACGTGTTTGAACTGTATGTCGCAAGAAATATATTCACCATTTTCGATGATGTTCCAGTTGTATTTACATACAGTAAAGTAAGTCTTTCGATAAAATTAATTAAACGCGATGCCGACGCACACATTACTTATTAGATATACACTTAAAAGCACGTCGATATAAGCACCGAAGAAGATCAAGAAGACGCTGTTGAGGAACAACTAGATTCTTTAAGAAAGAAAATAATTGCCGTAAGTTGACAAAACGTCATTAACAATAAAAAGGCTCAGGTTTATAATTTATCGTTCGATTTATTACCACAAAGAAAAAGGCTATGAATCACATGTTAAAGCAAGAGATTAAAAAGAGCAACTATAAAATTCGAAAATACGAGCAATGGAAACGGCAACTTCCCGACTTTATGACAAAGCGTGGAGGTAATGCTTCATGTATACGAAATATACTGGCTGTCTCACATCCCTTACCGCACTCTCTTCTTTCTTAGGCTGTCATCTCTTGGATTTATTAAACGTTCTCGTAACAAATCGGCAGAAAGTAAGATCATTAGCCAACTCTACCAAACTTCTCATAGCCTCGAATATGCTCAAGCCTGATTATCGTGGAGAATATATTAGTCGTATTGTTACAGGAGAGATTAGAAAACTAAGACATAAAGTGAGGATTGCCGACATAGTGGAGAAGAAGCGTAATGGATGTAAGAAATATAAGGATGATGGATTTGAATGTGGAATTTGGTATAAAATATTGGTCCCTATGGTGAGTGATGAATACTGGGACAAAGAATAGAAACGTAAAAGAGGAAGGAGGAACAAAGAACAAAAAGTAAAGAATGGATATGTCGCCTTCGCCGACTATACAGTAAATAGAAATAATAATAAACAAGCATGCAATGTGCTGTATCACAACATTTAACTGATTTTCATTGTTGAAACCCAGAACCACATGATTGGTTGGTTGCTTATGATGGGTTAAGTTACTTTTCAGAAAGGCAATACGACACTTGTCAAAGAAAACTTGCTTTTTTCCCCCTAAACTGTGAGTGTAAAGCAAACGAGCTATAACAAGCTCTAACGTCACAACTGACACATTCAAGAAGCGACCTTACGCAGATCCGACACCAAAAGAAGACACATAATGAAGAAGAAGTACAAGACCAAATTTCCAGTGGTAAGTTTTAGTGTAAATGACTTTCTTTCCGCAAATCTCCTATGCATCTTTAACTCTTTGTTGTTTCCTATTGGCAGGCGAGAATCAAGAAAATTATGCAAATGGACGAAGACGTTGGCAAAGTAGCTCAGGCTACGCCGGTTTTAATCTGTACGTTACAGTGTATTTGTGCATGTTCAACTGCCGGTGGAGATGAATGCAAGAGATAGTATAGGAACATGAATCAATTACCTTGACTTTTGGGTTTGTTGATGTTTAATTAAAGTGTTTCAAAGCGTACTAACTCTATGCTCATATTGTGTTTGACTGTAGCAAAAGCGTTAGAGTTGTTCATGCAATCGCTTATTGATCAAGCGTGTCAAGAAACTCGATCGCGAGATGCAAAACGGATAACTGTAGCTCATCTGTATGGTTTAAATACTACTTTGAAAATTGTCTTGTTGAATCCAACCCGGCATTGAATTTATGGTCATGAAGCGTAATTAATTTTATTTCACTTTTTCTCTCCCTCCTCCCCTCTCTCTCTTTTGAAAGTAAAAAAACAATTATGAAGACGGAACAGTTTGACTTTCTTAAAGACGTAGTGATAAATATACCGGATCCGGTTGAACCGCATGAACATGAAAATTCAAACACAAATAAGTCAGACCCAAGTAAGGGTGATGATCCCAACAATCCACAACCAAAGAAGAGGAGGCGAAGGCGAAAGTAAGTGGAAATGAGAAACAAGGGAAAAAAAAGAGACAGACAAAGTTTATGGATGTGATTAATAGGATGGCAAATCAGGAGTGTTGGTTGGTCTTGGGTTATTGTTTGACTGACTATCGCAAAAATTGAAATATCAAATCTTTTATTGTCAATAGAAATGCTGATGCAGACGAAGCAGCAGCAACAGCAACAGAGGGAGCAACAGCAGCAGAAGGCGATAATAATGAAGGATCATCTAAAGCAGCTTCGTCTTCAGCGCCAAAAACTCGACGAAGGAGGTAAGACTTTCCTCCGCTCATATAATAAATGTGTGTGTTTACAGTTGAACTTACTCCTAACCGTGTATATTTTCTTTTCACACGTGCAGAAAACGCAAGGAAGTCGAAGCTGACGGAGACGACTAGTCTCCAGACATTTACGATGACATGCGGAAATATTTGAGATATTTAAGTCAAGTCCCCTAACGATAATAAAAGACGAATCACCAAGTATTTCAACAACCGAATCTCTGGTCTAATGAATCGATATAAATAATATGGTTAGATGGTTATTTTGTTAGAATTCATTACAGTAATGTTTAATCACTATTTTACACGTTTTGCTTATGTTACCCTAATTTCACATTTTTCTTTTCCCCCACAAAGTGTTGAATATAGTAATGCACGGTTTAAAATTTCTAGCTTTACCCGAATATGACATATCACGTGATACAAAATTCCATTGAGCTCTCTCTCACATTCAAAATATGTTACAACCTATAATTGATCCTCGTCAATTCCTTTACATATCCGCCCTAAACAAACCTGTCTACTTCTACACTCCTAATCGATATGTGAGTCAATCATATTGCCTTTCGATATCTCTTGACTCCACCCGTTGAGCGTCACCGAGTTGAAAAAAATTTGGGGTTTTCATTTCAATCACCATATAGAGTATGTAGTGTTAAACAGTACACATGCTGAATTCCCATCAGCCCCCATTTGATTCACATACCGAGTGATGGTGAAATGGATGCTAGAGAATTTATGAGTGAGGTGTGGGACTCGGAATGTAAATAAAGATTGCGTGTGATTATGAAGATGATCGTTATTAGAAGTGGTCACTGCAGCAATACGTGTGAATCTCTATTTTCTTGCAACGTTGTCATTGCCAGGCAGGGCTTGAAGACATATTCGGTAGTTGGCAGCTTGGTTAACTCCTTGGTATTCCACACATCGTCAGAATTATCTCTTCAAAAAGTGTTAATTGCATCTGTATGTTTGTTATAATCAGCATCATAGCAAGCTTTTTATATTTCTCAGAGGCTGAATTAGGCATCAAGCCCACCCATAATATCACATACCAAGTTTATATCGAATTCTCTGTCTCTAAAAAGCGGTTCACCAAATACATGATAATACCAAAAGAATATGTCCGAGTCCTGAGTAAATTTGCACATATTGAAGAGTCCGGTGGTGCAACAAATACAAAGGGTATAACGCCTCGAAGGGCTGACGACTCATGCGCAGACCAAGATCGAATATACAGTATATTAATATATGAGAAACTTGTACGAAAATCTCTTCCTTTCGCAAACGTGTGTGGTACCACCATGATTTGTAAATTCAGCCCTTTCCGAGATTGTTACTGACAAACTATGTCGTTAGTTGAGGATGTTCAAAATGCAGCCATTGACAGCTTGATCGCAACTAGTCGTAAAGAATGGATTCCTTATTCAGAAATCACCGATGTAAAGCCAAGTCACATTGAAAACGTCTACTACGCTATTTGCAAGAAAACGTATTATGGTGATGAAATAATGTTGCTGCTACTTGGCAGTAGTGAAGAATGTACACCAACACTTGTGGGTGAATTTGCTAGAGTATACTCACTTCCGACTGCACCCAAGTATAATAAATATGAGAATAACTTCAGAAGATACAAAAGATGGCTTATCTATCGCAATTTATGGATAAAAGGATTCACCAAGTATGACGGTAGCTATTACATGGTTGCTGATAAACGCTTTTACGATTTTTATTCTCGATATGGATTCTGCTTTGCATGTGGAATACTCCGATGTAGTCCCGTGTGGTGCATTTGCGGGCATAAACAATTATCCAATGGATGGACTAGCAACAATGAACAACTTGATGGGTTTATTAAGAAGTCTCAATTACAAACAAACTCTGCAAATGATGCCTACTTGGAATGGATTCCATTTGATTGTATTCGTGATAAGGGATATAGATATGGATATGGATATAGATATGGATATAGATATGGATATGGATATGAATATAGATATGGATACTTATGTGGTTTACCTCTTACTAACAATGATGTATTTGTTGAATTGATTATGCTTGAAATAACAGATGAGAGAGATGATTCATATTATGACAAGGTGACTATCAAGTACGAATATATTACGTTTACTCATTGTTTGGATAAATATTGACTTATGTAATTCCACTAGTTATGCAATAAGCATTCAGATATTCTTACCGTGAATGTTTGGGCTACCATTGGATTCACATATGATATACGTGAACAGAAATATTATCTAATAAAACGTAGGGGTGGATTATGTCTGGCGTGTACAATGCTATTAAAACCCGAGATGGCATTCTGTTATTATTGTAAATTCCCAGCACCTCTTAATTGGACTATAGACAACAAATTTTTGAATTCATTTGGTATAGAATCATGGAGTAATAGTAATATGAAGAATAAGTATGATGCATATATACAATGGATAGAGTATTCTCTATTGATGAATGTACGAGAAATGACATCATTACGCCATGAATGCACACATATAGCAGATTGGTTAGAACCAATGGCAGATGAATGGACAGAAGTGACGCTGAAGCAGATAGTAGTAGGTGATACTCAGTCGCATGATTTTTATCAGGTAAATTATTTCACATGCAATAACATTAAGTATGCATTGACGTTGCATTGATTGTTTTGATAACTGTATTGTTTATTCAAATAGTTAGTTCAGGAATACCCGGACATATTAAACCCCGATAATGTTTGGATAGTCGGAATTACTCAAGAGCCATCTACTCAAGCATATTATTTAGTTTTCTACCATGAAATACGTCCAATATTGAACAAAACTATGCAACGTTACGTGCACGTAGAGTACATGCAGTATGGCGACTTTTATGAATTCGAAGAGATCGGATCTGGTGGTTATGGAACAGTCTATACTGCAAAATATAAACGATTTGAAGAGAGTTTTAATATGCTAGAAACTGTTGTACTAAAACGCTTTGAGAGTTCTGATCAGACGCCGGAATTATTTATTAACGAAGTAAGCAACCTTTGACGTTATTAATTAAAGTGATATTTAATCTAACTCTGTATTTATTCATTTATTTAATAGGTCAGAAATCATGGCAAGTGCACAAGTGATTATTCATTTCTTAAAATTTATGGAGTCACACAAGACCCAGAAACAAGCGAGTACATGATTGTTATGCAATATGCTAACAATGGTAATCTTTTGTCTTATTTGGATCAGAATATTAACAAATTGACGTGGAAGATGAAATTACACCGTTTAAAGGATATTGTAAATTATCTGTGCGATATTCATGAAGTGGGATTAGTGCATTGTGATCTTCATGGCGGGAACATAGTTTTGCATGATGATGATTATTATGTGACACAATCCTTCATATGCGACCTTGGTCTTTCTCAATCGTTGAATTCACGTCAGCAAAATTCAACCATTCGAGGTGTTTTACCCTTTATTGCACCGGAAGTATTTCATACCTTCAAATTCACGCAGAAATCAGATGTATATTCTTTTGGTATTATTATGCATTTAATTGCTACTGGTGAACCACCTTTTAGAGATAGAGAATTTGAAAGAAGTTTGATATGCGATATTATGGGTGGACTACGACCATCGATGCCTGATTCAGCACCAGAGGAATACAAGAAACTTGCCGAGCGGTGTTGTGATGCTGATCCTGATAAGCGTCCAGATGCAGAGACAATTCGAAGTGACATTAACGAACTTATTGGCGAGGTGTATGGGAATAAGGCTGATGACAACATATGGAATACCATCTATCATAATGATGTAAGACCACTATCACGTCTCGAGAAGGAGAGTAAATACTCTAGTAAGTTGTTACCTACTGGAGATTTGCCTAAACCGAGAAATAGCTATGATTTGGATTCAATGGCAGGTACGAAGACAGCAACTGGTTACTTGTTGGTGTAGGGAAAGTCGATTAATAATATTAACATCGTCAATTGTCTTATAATTTAGTGACTCAAACGCTCTTTGAATGAACTTGTGATTACGTTTTATTTATAGCTTACACGAGTTTATTCAAAGTTTACTGCTCGTCCAATTAAATACGATATGATTATAGCTGTCGCCTTATCTGCAGCGGGAAATACTGAAACGAGTAGTACGTCAATAATGATTTCTGTCTGCAAAGCAAAATTAGCGCACCATTATACGGATGTGGTTTGTGGTAGTAATTTGGGAGGTTTGATTTTGTATCGTCGGTTTTAAACCATAAATTGCCAAGGTTTGGCGTTTGATTTATATCATCCTTTGCCTTCTGGTTGGAAATTGTAAAGTGCTAACGAGACTTACGTATTTAGCATGTATTAAGCTATTTTGCAACAGATTAAATAAACGTGTTGGAAACGTTTTGCGGAGTTATACATATGCGTCATGTTAAATCAGGCTAGCGTTAAATTTAGTGCTTTTTTAAAAATACTGTCTATATTGAATACAGTCCTACCTCGTTTATATCCCCACTTTGGGACGGAGCTTTTTCGGGGATATATTCGAGGTGGGGATACAACT